CTCCGCTGGTTGACGAAACTGTTGCTTAGATATGAAGGAACAGGTAAGATAAAAATGGCTTCGAAATAACAGGGAAAACGATAGAGAGATAGTCAGAGAGATTTGAAACAAGGTGAGGTAAATGAGTAATGAGGGTTTAAAAGGGGTCGGGTCCTGACTGGGTGAGTTAATTAGGCAATAATACTTCAGCTTTCCAATATTTTAGGGATAATGACAATAAAACTCTTAAATTTTGTTTCTTTTTCAATTATGCCTTTAATCTTTGATAACTTAAATATTCTTTTTTTATTAATTTAGTTTTAAACGATCAATTAATAACCAATATTTTTATAAGACTAGAAAAATTATTAGTCTCGTGTTTAAATAAATATTTAAATAAATTTTAATTTTTTTATTAATAAGAAGTGATTAAAAATAACATTTATTCATATTTTTTAATCATTTATAATGTACATACATTATGTAGACATAGTTGTTCAAACTCAAATATATTAAAAAATAACATTTATTCTTTATTATATTTAATACTTATTTAATATAAAAAATATGATATTTTTTATATTTATAATTGGTATATGATATATCGATCGACTTATCCATATCAGGTACTGTAGAGGTGGGCGACCTCCCAACTCAATTTGCTCTATTTACAAACGTCAAGTTTGAATCTCTAACATTACTTAAAGAATCTAGTATCTCGTCCCAATTAATTATTATTTTTATTTTTGATATTTATTAATCTGGTAATCAAACGAATAGATATTCGAAATTTAAGGTTTGATTCGATTGTTTATTTCTCGGGAACTGTTGAGTGCAGTGGAGGGAGTTAAAGAGATTTAGATTCCAAAGGCTTAGGCGCAAGCGGCTCCGAGTTTCCGCGGATGGTTGTCGCTCCACCGTTGCTTCCTTCATTTCTTTATTAAAAACTATTGAGATCAAGGGTATTTAATTTTTCTTAAAGAGAAGAGTGAAGGTTGATTTTCGAGGGCTATGGCATACACATATGTATTGAAAATGTTGTTGAACTTATGGGTTTAACTATATATTATAATGCTAATGGGGAAAATAAAGAATTTAAGAGACTATCGGACTAATCATTAAGGGTTTTGCTAGAGATTAGGAGACATTATACTTATTTAGACAGTAATTAAAATGTTAGTATATTTTGCGTAAAGTACACAAATGACCATCTGATTATAAAAAATTACTTTGTTAAGTATTTTGACTATTGAAAGAAATAAAATTATCCTTTGTCTATATAGATAGTTGTTCTATTTAATTCGTCGACTACTAAAAGTTATGAAATGATCCCCCGACTATTCATTTTTATTTCAAATTCGTCATTTTTGTTAAAGAATTAACGATCGTTTAATCTAGACGTTGACATGCTGACTAATATATTATAGTCGTTTGAGATTATGAGATTATATTTTATTATATCTTAATCGACAGGTTAATGTCCAGCTCAAACTGCAATCAATTTTTTCAAGAAAAATGATGATTTTGGAATATAATAAATAGTTGAGTGACCATTTTATAGCTTTTAATAGTCGAGGGATTCAACAAAACAATTCCCTATAATTGAGAGATCGTTTTGTAACTTTTAATAATCGAGAGACTTGACAAAGTAATTTTCTATAATCGGGAGATCATTTATGTATTTATCTTAATTTTTTAATCAAAATTTAAAATTTAATTACATTGGAAAATTTATTTTAAGGGTAAATCAAAATCTCATCACTCAACTTTACTTTTATTCTCATTTTAGTCACTAAAATTTTAAAACTCAATTTAATCACATAACTTTTGAATTGTTTTTGTTTTGATAGAGATCATATAAGTTATTATCGAAATTTTATATATTGTAGTATTACTTAAATTTTCATAACCACAACACATTTTTTGTAGTGGATTGATTTACAAGAACAGAAGCAAAGAAAAAAAAAAGTCATTGCTAAACTTGAAAAGAAAGAGTACGAAGAAAACATTGTTTAAGTTAAATGGAATGAAGAAAAAGAAGCAAAGGTAGGATTCGAAAACAAAAAATAAAAAAACCAATGGTTGTGGCTAAAAAACACTTTTAAAAGAGGAAGAAAACACAACAGCTGATGCTAAATTAAGGGGAAATAAGGAAAAAGGAAACTAAGGCTTAATTTGTTTTTACTGTGCAAACTCTTTAAATCACTTATGTATGCGCCACTTAGATCACGTGTAGACATTAGGCTTCGCAGACTGTTTGTTTTTTAGAAGACAAAAGCTCTTCAAACGTCTGCGCGAGCTCTTCTTGGTGTAGACATGGTTTTATGTCTTCAAAAGTCTTCAAACTTCTTCAAGAACAATTATAAAATATAATTATTTATTAAAATAATTTTAAATAATTTAATAAGGTTATTTATTTTAAAATAATTTATTTTAAAATAAATTATTATAAAATATAGATTGATTTATTTTAAAATAATTTATTTTAAATAATTTATTAGTATGAATTGATTTATTTTAAAATATGGATTGATTTATTTTAAATAATTTATTAGTATGAATTGATTTATTTTAAAATATAGATTGATTTATTATTGTAGTTGTATGGATTGATTTATTTTAAATAATTTATTAGTATGGATTGATTTATTTTAAAGTATGGATTGATTTATTTTAAATAATTTATTAATATAGATTGATTTATTTTAAAATATAGATTGATTTATTATTATAGTTGTATAGATTGATTTATTTTAAATAATTTGTTAGTATGAATTGATTTATTTTAAATAATTTATTAGTATAGATTGATTTATTTTAAATAATTTATTTTTATGGATTGATTTATTTTAAAATATGAATTGATTTATTATTGTAGTTGTATGGATTGATTGATTTATTTTAAATAATTTATTAATATCGATTGATTTATTTTAAAATATGAATTGATTTATTTTAAATAATTTATTAGTATGGATTGATTTATTTTAAATAATTTATTTGTATGGATTGATTTATTTTAAAATATAGATTGATTTATTTTAAATAATTTATTATTGTAATTGTATGGATTATTTAAATTTTAGTATTGTAAAACTAAAATTATTTAAATCTCATATTGCAAAACTCTTTTAAGTTTAAAAAATCAGTTTATTTATATTTCAGTTCATTTTAACAGTCTGCAGACGTTAAAAAACAAACAGTCTTCTTCTTGCAGACTGCAAACTTTTGGTCCACCTCTTCTGCTGCAGATACCTGCAGATGTGATTCGCAGTCTGCAGACCTTTTACCTCTGCAAAAACAAACACCACCTAAGTAATCATGTAATGTGGGGCACAGACTAGAGAAGTCGAATCATCCATCTCACGTACCAAGTTAGTCGGTTAACGCACCAGAGTTGTGTTCCATAACTTCCAATAACAATTATTAATGATAAGTGATCGATTTGTTATAAATCGATAATACATGTGAATAATATGAAAAAAAATTATTTATAGAATTATTATATTTTACTTGAATAAGTACGTATTATAAACGAATAGTGCAATGAAGCTGGCCCTATGTTGAAGAACCAAGTGAGGAAAACGAGACAAGTAACAGTCTCTTAATCCCTTAAGTTGAAGAACTCCATTTCCTAGTGAAAATAAAACGTGGACACTATCAAATATATGATAATAACATAACTAGAAATAAGTCACAAGGGCTGCAAATCAACTACAAGTAGATCATAGACGATGCAATTACACAGCACAAAAACAACACGAACTGGATGTTGTTCTGTAAAGCAACACAAATCAATGAACTATGGTTGCATTTCCTAAATCCAAACATCCTCAAGAAAAAGAGGGAATCTATGTAACCTTAAACCTAACAAATTCTAATGTTAATGCAATCTTGAAATTAATGTTGATAAAGCTGGCCCAATGTTGAAGATCAGTCAAGAACATGCTTGCAATCTAAAAGATAATTAAACAATGCAATGCTAATCCATAAGAACAATCCTAGTGCTAAAAGCAAACGATTGAGAGTATCATTCAAATGAGCTGAATTTAAAAAACCCAGAAAACAACTGAAGATAAAAAAGGAAATACCATAGCAAAAATAGAAACATATAACATTATCAAGTCTACAAAATCCCATATTCTTCATCGTAATACTAATTGATAACATACGCAAAAAGAACTATAATCAAGTCCAACAGTTGCAACATCATAAGGTAAAAAATAAATAACGAGAACCTTAATCGACACTCTGCATGATATCCTCAGCAGAAAACTTGGTGCCTTTGTCCTTATCAGCGGCGGCACGTCCCTTGGCCTTACGATCCAGCAAGGACTTGCGGTCCTTGTCGAGCCTCAGCTTGGTAATGACAACCTTCGATGGGTTGATTCCGACGTTCACGGTCGAACCGTTCACTTTCTCGCGGGTGATGCGCTCGATGTGGATAATCCACTTGCGGCGGTAAACTTGAACCACTTTACCTTCCCGGCCTTTGTAGGTTCCGCGGACTACTTGGACCTCGTCGTCCTTGCGGACCGGCATGGACCGGACGTTGTACTTGGACCTCAGGTCGGATGAAAGGGGTGCGCTCATCAAAACGCGGCGAACAGACGACGGCGCCGTGAAATGAGCCTTGCGGCTCTTGCGGCGAGAGGAGGAGACGCGTGGGTTGAACTTCATTTTTTCTGTGGGTGAGGGGATAGGATTTTTCTCCTCTTCGACTTGGAGATGGTCAATGCTGTAAGCAGAGGAACTAGGGTTTTGAGAAAGATATATGGTGGGAAATGGTGTAAAATTAGGGTTAATTTGGTATTTGTAGGCTTTTGGATTTAAAAAAGAGCTTTGAAGGCCTAACTTGTTTTTGGGCTATTTTCTCTTTTCCATTTCCGAAGAACATAGTTTCAGTGAGAAAACTACATATATTGCTTCTGATGGGCTTTATATATCCAACATAGAGGAATTTCACAAACCATAACTCTTACTCTTAGAGCCAATTTCATAAATATATAGAAATTAACCATTTATTCACTTGCATCCTAATCTGAAAATCGAAGAGATTATATTTCCTTTCCAGGAGAGCATAGATTCCAAGGAAGACGATGGCCGCCGCGAACTCGCTGCTAAAACTAACGAACCAAGTTCGAGTGGCTCGGACTGCCTTGGGTTCATTCTCGAGAACCTTCTCTTCAGATGCATTGGTTGAAGTCAAGCCAGGCGAGGTCGGAATGGTATCCGGAATTCCTGAAGAACATCTTCGTAGGAGGGTAAATTACAAATTTTCATTGTTTTTTAGGGTTGTTTTTTCTATCGATCGTTACTTTTTGCTTCTATTTTTTTTTGAAACAATATGGAAATATAGGATTATTATGACGCTTGATTTGCGTCGTAGGTTGTGATTTACTCACCTGCAAGAACTGCTACTCAACAAGGATCTGGGAAAGTTGGTAGGTGGAAGATCAATTTTGTGTCGACACAAAAGTATGTTCCCCTCTTCCTTTCCTTTAACCTTAATTTTCTTATCGTTTCAGCCGTATAAGTTGATCCTTTTTTGTTTGTGTCAATTTGCCAATTTCATGTTAGAATAGTAGTAACTCTGCTAGTTGAATGTGATCCTAAGTAATCTCTGCTGATTCTTGTAAATGGAAGAAAATCAAAATGATGGAATTAAGCTAGTGCTAATCTTCAATTATCCATATTCTGTTGCAAGTAGTCCTATTTGGAGTTCTGTTCGGTTCGTTCTGGTTTGTGGTTTTGTTCTATGTAGCTCCGACTCTTCATTACACTTGCGTCCAACACATTTTTGAACATTGGTATAGGGATATGGTCCTCAAAAGGATTGTTCGAATACATAGACAAATATAGAAAGATTAGAACATACCCATGTCTGACAGATGCTCATACCCAGCACTCACTGATCGAGTAACATAGGTTTTGTTGTTGAAAACTTGTTTACCATTGGCCAAAATGCCATATTTGGATTGTTGATGCCTTCTTTTTTATCTTGTCATGTGGAAGTAGATCTTAGATGTTTTTATCTTTTTTATCTTATCATTGAATAATATGGTACAGGTGGGAGAACCCATTGATGGGTTGGACATCAACAGGGGACCCTTATGCTAATGTTGGTGATTCTGCACTCGGTTTTGATAGTGAAGAAGCTGCTAAGTCTTTTGCCGAGAGACATGGGTGGGATTACGTGGTATGCTCTATTTTTCTTTTCCTTCACTCTTTCGCTGGAAATTCAGTTTTGATTCCACACTTGTTATATGGCTTACTTGATTATTTTGCTACAAAAATGTTTTCCTTGAATGAACCATACCCTATCTTTGGTGAGAAATTAATTGGTTGTACATCTTGAACTCATTTATACAGGTTAAAAAGCGCCAAACACCAGTGCTGAAGGTTTGAAACTTTAAACTCTTTCTTTTGAATTTGTGCCATGAATTCCGATTCTTTTACATGAGCCTACGTAGTAGCAAGTTTGGGACTGAAGATCATGGTTAATTATTTCAGCTAGTCAGAAGAATGAAAACCAACTCTAAATTTCTAAAGGAAACTGATTAAACAAACTTGTGCATCATCGGTTTTGAACTTTTAGAGCTTAGGGGAATGACTGCTTTCAGGTCCTGCACTGTCTTTCCTTGACTAGACATTTTTCTTTGGAATCATAGTAATTCCCTCTTTTTTGATTGGCAATTCAAAGCTTAAAAGAGAAACAGCTGGAACCCATATCGATGATGATATATGGTAATCCGTCTTGTAACAATACACCACACAAAGAGGAATGGTTTGTTCGAACCCAATTCAACGTGCACATCCTCTTGCCGTAATTGACTGCAACCCAATGAGCTGCCACATTAGCAGGCCCTGAGATTCAATTAAGATAAATTATAAGATCTTGAAAGTCCAGGAACATCATCTTTCAAATGAGACCTTCCAAAGAAAACTCGTCGGAAAACCCTATACCTGGGAAAACACTAATTTAGAGAGAGATAAGAGTGTCCGTAGTAATTTCTTCTGTTATATTTCCAAATGCTGATTTTATTGATTTAGAGTCATGGTCTGTACTAGAAACTGTATTTCTTAGAAGCCCCGTATTACATTGGAATCTTCTTAAAGATGCTGTGAAGTCTAAATATTGACATTTGACAAGTTAGTGTTCCTTACCTGAGAGAGTGAGTGAAAGTTATAGCACTGATAGCCGCATAAAGGTCGAGCTTTTAACTTTGGTCTGACATCTAGATCAGGCTTACTATATTTGACGAGCTTATATGCTGCTAGAATGTCCAAAAACCAGAACTTCATCCATTAAATGCAACAATATAGTTTCCCAGGCAGAATATGTTATCTCATAAAATATATGTTTGCAGCTGAAGTCGTATGCGGATAACTTCAAGTGGAAGGGACCTGCTGTATCTGCAGAATGATTAAGTTAATTTTGCAGATCCTGTTGCTTTTATTCAAACCATTAATTAAGTTGTGAGACTCCTCTGCTCAGGTTTTATCTGTTGCACATTTTCTGATGTATCTGTTTGTGACGATTGGATCAAAATAAATGCGATCAACAGCGATCAAATGGGTGTTTACCATTTTATCTAATTTCTCCTCCATTCATTTATGATAACAGTGCAGATATATGGTCCATGTTTGTTGAAACTTGCTTCACAAACAATCATCTCCTTCCCTACCCCGTATTGAGCAACAGCAAAGTTACTGATGGGCTGGGCCGAGTTACGCCTGCATTTTTGAAAGGTCAAGTTACTTTCCTGTATCCACCAACATTTCTTTCTTGCTTACGTTACTTTTAAAATTTTATATAAATAATAATAATAATTATCGCGAGGGGTATTTTATTTTCATTGAAAAAGAAAAAGGTTATTTTCTAGGAGTAATTTCGAAAATTAGTTTTTCATTAAACGAAGTTGAAATTTAGTTTTGGTTTAATCCTACGAAAGGAAACAAGCAAATAACTCATCTATTCAATCCGTTTCAATTCTGTACGAAAATTAAAGGGTAAACTAAATCATTAGTAATCAACATATTATTTCTTTTCTATTTTAATCACTAACATATTATTTCTTTTCTATTTTGATCACCAATTTATTTTTGTGATAAAATCGTCACTAAGACATGGGACTCGAACCCATGATGTCTTGCAGAAAGATTCTTACTCTTAATCATTGAATTAAGCAAAATATTTATAAATTATTTCATCAAAACTTACATTTAAATTGATCACACCAAAATAAGGAAAAGTAATATAGCTAGAGAGGAAGGGGATTCAAACATCACCACTAAGTTAGACTAGAAATTTGTTAAAATTCTATCAAAATTAATATTTAGCTTAAATTGTGTCATCATCTCAAAATTAAATAAAAAATTATTAGAAGTATTGAACTTGGGACCCTTATAAAAAATATCCAATGTTTAACCATTAATCAAATAATATAATCACTATATTTTAAATCAAATTATTATTTAATATAAATTATGATTAAAATTAAACGCCAAACTACAATTATTTTTCAATTTCTTTTGAGAATAAAAAATTAATTAATTAGTTATTTTGTAAAATTAATATTGAATTATTCTAAAAAATAAATGTATAATTTTATTTTAAATAAATATTATAAATTTAATATTAATTTTATAAAATTAAATAAAATGATTTTTGAATTAATTTTATGTTCCCAAATAAAAAAAAAATCAATAAAATGAAAAAACAAAAACATAATTATTTTTCCCCGAAAATATTCTATGCTTCTCGTAGTCGTAACCTTAAGCATTACGACATGTTCCTTGTCATATATAAATATATATTCATGACATTTTAATACTGTGTTTCGTTCAAGCAGTGGGAACCAGACGAACCACCTTCGGTATTTCCGCATTTCTTTAACGAATTTGATTATTTTTTTTCTTTCAATCTTCTTTTTTCTGTGATTTTTCTTTATTTCAAGATAACCCTCAAAATTTTGTTATTTTGTTTGCTAGGAACGTGACTTTCCCCTGCTTAAGATTTTTGCGGTTAGTCCCCCCCCCCTCGTACTTTGTTTTGGCCATCTTCTTCATTATTAAAATCTAACTTGATTTCCATGTCTTTGTCTTAATCTCTGTATAATATAATTTGATTGTCTTAGAGTCCGCCGCCTGAGAATTCTGTATTTATTGAAGGATCCCATCTGGGTTTCTCATCTGGTGATTCTTCAATTTTCTTCTTTATTTAATTTCAGTGACCCTTTTCTCTTTTTATTTAATTTATTTTCCTTATTGGGTCTTTCTTTTTAATTTCTTTTTTGAGTTGGATGACTTTTTTTCCTTTAGCATAAGGGTTACTTTTTCTTAAACATATAATTATGGTTTGTTTTGAAGTTTATAAATTGTTGTTTGATTGAAAGCAGAAAGATATGCGGTATGGGTGTTCATGAGGATGATATATCAGCTGGTAGGGTACCACTCAGTACCTGGATTTTTGAGGGACAATGAATATATTTTAGGCCATTATAGATTAGAATGGCCGATGAAGCAGATTTTCCGAGCATCTTCAGAATTCACAATGAGACTTTGAATATTTGGACGTAAGCTTTCTTTGCTTGATTTTAATAGTACCCCATTTTAATCTTGTTGTCAAATGCTAGCTAGCTTGGTCTCTACCTTATCGTAAGCTTTCTTTGCTTGTTTTTAATAGTACCCCATTTTAATTGGATCTTATAACTTATGAGTTATGGCTAAACTTGTTAAGAGGATAGATTTTATCATTGTTAGGTTTCTAGTTTAAATTTCTCATCTTGGGAATGTTCACATATTTCATACATATGAAGACTCGCGAGCGAACATTGGGAACATCTGACCCTTCCGTTGATGGTCTATTTATTCTCTCAGCTAAACCCATTTAGATGAGGTGTCTTATGAAGACAACTTGTCTCTACATATTCATCAAAAGGTCCATGGGAATCAGTTTCATTTCTGTTTCGGTGCATTTCAACTCCTTCCTGTTTCTCTTTCAAGCTTTGAACTGTTTTAACACTTGTAGCACTTGATCCTTTGTCTTAAATGTATAAACCCAAATCTTCCTTGAATGATCGTTGACAAAGTTGAAAAAAATACGAACCCCCTCCAGTCCTTGTCTTCATAGGATCACATGCATTAGAATGTACCAAGTTGATTACACTTGGAGAAGGGTGGCTCGTGAAACTGTGATGAGCAGATTAATTGTGTTTTGACCTCTTTATTTAGAATTGGAAAGAGAAGAATCAGAGATTTAGGGAAGAGATGTAAATATGTGTTGATTTGTGAAGTAACTTTCATGCTATTATCAATTGGAATGTACTCCTTTCGTTAGTATTATATAGTCTATGAATTCATGTTTCTGAGGTGACTGTTGCTTTGTAAGATCATGGATTGATATGTTGTCACTTGTGATATGATATGTTGTGTATGACTGTTGCTTTTTTCAGGCATTTGATTGGGTTCTTCATTTTCCTTTCCCTTACCATATACACTGCAATGAAGGTTCCAAAAGTTGTCGATCTTCAAGCTTTGCAGCAGATTTCCGATGCATTGAAAAAGGCTGATTTAAAAAAATTGCAATCAGAAATCCTGACATGCTTGCCTTCTTTACCAAATATGCCTGATTTGAACAAACTTCGAGAGGAGTTAAAGACTTCTATTCCTTTAATGGATTTGGTTCCTTCACTCTCAAGTTGGCATGTTATGGAACACCTGCATAATTGTTTACCTGAGATTTTCGCTGCCGGAAATCACATTGATGCTCAAGTTCTGGTATGGTTATGCCCTTAATAAGTTATCTCATAAATCTTAATAGTTTACCTAATTTCAGAAGTTGTCATGGCTGACTGCCCTTCTAATCACTAGGTGGTCTTTGAGGTTCCACTTGAATAATGCTAATTGTTTTTCCAGTGTTCATTGCCTGCTGAAAATTTCCCAGTTTTTTTCTATGTAATTATCTCACTGCAACTAATTTTGGAATAGCTGGACTTGCATTACATTTTATTGTTCTTCATATCCTTAAATGATTAAGTATTACTTTAGGATAAGATGCTGTTAGACTTAGTTATAATGTAAGAAGAGGAAATAAAAGGGGCAATTCCAGTAAACAGTCATAAAATTTTCAGTTAGTACTTATGGAGATTCTATAATGATTAGGAGACATCAGATATATTAACGTCACATAGCATACAAGACAAAAACTTAATGTCCCATAGCATACAAGACAAAAACCCGAGTTTGTTCTTTAGGTTTGAAACATCAAACTCTTAATGAACTTATAGTTTGTAAATGTACAAGGATTTTAATGTTGAGAAGTCGAGTTTTTTAGCAGTGTGGTATCAGCTACCACAATGGTGATAGTTCGAAAGTTCCGTTACTCTATATATATTATAGAATCTAGATTGGAGTACCTTGGAGACAAAAAAGTAGAGGGTAGCGGGGATTGAATCCTGGCTCATTCTTTGCAGCCACTAGTATTTTGCCTTACGGTTCTGCAGTGTATATTGTTTAATAAAAAATGCATAAACATGGATTTTTCATGCTATATCTTGTGCTTCAATGCGAAACCGGTATCCTTGATACTGTTCCGGGCAGTGTATATATATATTATTCTTTTTCTTGTTAAATGATTGACTTAGCATCTTGGGAGGTTCATAGTTTTAATGTCTTTCTAAATGGCAGCAAGGTATGAAGGAGCCGATAACCCGACGGCCTTTTTTCACCTTCTTGGGTGGTGCAATGTTTTGCTTGTTCGCTAGCAGCACCTACCATCTCCTTTCATGCCACTCTGAACGCCTATCGTATATCATGCTCAGGCTAGACTATGCTGGGATTGCTGCTCTTATAGCAACTTCCTTTTATCCTCCTGTGTATTACTCGTTCATGTGTGATCCGTTCTTCTGCAACGTCTATTTGGGTTCTACAACCGTATTGCGTATCGCAACGATCTTGTTTTCCTTGCTGCCAATGTTTCAGTCACCCAAGTTCCGCAAAATACGAGCATCCTTCTTCTTCGGCATGGGCATGTCTGGGGTAGCACCCATTATTCACAAGCTTATCCTGTTCTGGCAGCAGCCCGAGGCACTTCACACAACCTTGTACGAGATTCTGATGGGAGTTTTGTACGGTGTTGGAGCTTTGGTCTATGCCGCGAGGGTTCCGGAGCGGTGGATGCCTGGGAAATTCGACATTGCCGGGCACAGCCACCAACTTTTTCACATCCTGGTTGTCGCCGGTGCCTTCACTCATTATCAAGCCGGACTGGTTTACCTCAAATGGAGGGATCAAAATGGATGTTAAAAAAACCAAATAATCGATTGTCGGCGAAGGAGCATTACTCTGCTCGCAAGTTATTTATAGTTGGTTCAAGTAGGCATAATAATGTTATGTATGCGGTGGGAATATGTTTAATCCATTGTAGCAATGTATATTCTTCATAAATCATTTGTCTCAAAGTCACGAACCATACAGTTTCAACATTATTTTATGTTGCCATAAAACAAAGGGGGAAAAAAGAACACAAATCAACGAAAGGAGATTGTAGAATAAATTTTTTATAATCTTCACAAAAAAAGTTTGAAAGCAAATGTTCAAATAAAAGGCTTTCAACCGTTTATGGGTTATTTATGTGTGATTTAATTTACAATAAAGAATAAAATATGTAAATAGTGCGTTATTGAAAATATTTTGTTTAATCAATTATTTTAAAATAAAACGTCACTTTCACACCTGTATCAAATATCGATATAGGAGTATAATATGACGAGAGAATAGCCAGTAGAGATTAGTCCAACAAAGAGGAGGCGGCGGGTGGGACTGCTCCAACTCCAAACGCACGATATAAACGCCTTCTCCTGATAAAGCCGTACTCTTCCCTTCCGAAGAAACATCGTTGAAGGCACGATTGGACCCAGAAAATAATATTTTTTAAATGAATAAAAAAAATTGGTCAAATTTCAGGCACTTTGACCCTGGCGGGCTGCTAAGTGACGTTGACTAAAGAACGTTTGAATTTTTACCTTATCTGCAGATTCATCCCACCATCAGCGTCATTACCATTTTCTTTTATTATTTTCTTCACACACATATATATATGTATGTATTTACGTATCAGTGTGTATCTCCGTATTCTAAATTTAAAGTTCCTCGAGTGAATTATTAAAAGGAAGAAAAACGAGCTTAGCAACTTAGCCATAGATGGAAGATTATTCATCATCTTTTTCTTCAGCACTAGCACCGGGGTTAAAGAACTCACAGTCTTTCCAACCATCGCTTCATTCGGTACGTAAGCCAATGGGAAAGCCGTGGAAGAAGCCGGCGGTTTCACCATTGCAACCGACACCGCTTAAAGTTTACAGGGTCGACCCTGTAAACTTCCGGGGATTGGTTCAAAAACTCACTGGTGGTGCAACAATCGTTCCGGCCGACTCCCTCTCTCAACATCAAACGCCGTCGACTCGTCTTCGAAGAGTTGCACCGCAACCTCCGCCTCTTCAGGTTGCACCACCGCAGCCACTGCATATGGTTTCTGGGTTATATCATACGAAGCCACAGAACCAAAAATTCTGTGATGAATCATCTGATTCGCTTGGATTAAACTTGTCACCGTCATCTTATAATTGGTGTTCTTTCCCTATTCTCAGTCCTACAACTTTGTCTAGCTTGGACGAAAGCACTGTTCCTTAGATCATATGTATGTTTAGTTTAGGACAATTTGGAAGTTAATTCTCTTTATCGTTCTAGTTTTAGCTTAGATAGAAAGTAAGATTAAAAGTTTAAAACTACATTCTTTTGTTGTACTACTTTGTTTATTATACATTCACGACTTTATTTTTCAGAGATACATATATATATATATATATATATATATATATATATATGAATGTTACCTTTCTTTGAGAATTCGAAACCAGTAATAAGGGAAATTTATTTAAATTTTAGTGACCACTTATACACTTTGTCTTAAAATATTATCTTATCCCTGTTGATTGCTTTCACTACAATTATTTATGCTTTGGGATGAATTTGAGTTATAGACGGAGTGGGTGAAATTCTATGTTAGATCCCTCTATTATGGGAATTGATTCAAATCAGTCCCTTCGATCAAATCACTCCGACTATTGTTTGAAAAACAACATGAAAACAATTTTTTTCATTTATAGTTCGATTCCAAAATAAAAATTCTTTTAGACATTAAATTTTAATCTTATAAAAATATAACCTTATTTAATTCATTTTACTAATATATAAATTAAATCAACCTACCAAATGATAAATGGATTAATTTAAACCGATCCTTCTGATGAAATGGCTTATCAAATAGTACTTTCACCGTTCATTGGGTTGCCTGCCTCGGTAAACCATGTATAATTATAAATAGTTTCGAAAGTTTGATGCGGTTATTTAGGCCTAATACATGTCGTTTAATTGTTTGAAAAATGGATAAACTCTTAAAATGATTAATTTTATATTGATTATCGTTCTGTTGAAATGATCAACAATCGCAAAGGTGATATGAGGAAAAGGTAGGGAGGCTCCGGAGAGGATTTCAGTGGTCCTAGAGGTCCTGATGATCAGATGTGGGAGATCAAATAGCGAACATACCACTCAGGTGGCGTTTGGATGGAAGATTTTTAACATTATTTATAAGAATATTTTTTTTCTACTTGTGATTCTCACGTTTGGATGGAGAAAATTTCCATAAGAGAGTAATAAAATATTACCAACAATAACTTTTTTTTCAAATATTACCGGGAATGCTAATCTCATGACAAGCTTAGGTATTTTTTGTTTCCCTTCACCTTAGACTAAAATGCCTTTGTCCTAAAAGATTTATTTCAAAAGCTATAATATATTATCATAAATTTATTATCATAACTTTATTTTAAAAATATTCTAACTGGGTATTTTATTTATTTATTTATTATCATAACTTTTTAAATATTAATTAAGATTAAAAGAATATATGATATATTTACTCTTTTAATCTACCCATTTATCTTTTAAATTTTGTAAAAAAATCATATAAATTTTATGAATTTAAAATTTAATAAAAAAAAATATAAATTGAAAATAATACAATAATATAATTTTTATGATTTTTTATATAAATATTTTCATTTGAATATTTAGAATTTAACTTGTTAAAAAAATATCATAAGGACAATTTAGTAAAATATACATTCTAGTAATCTTTTATTCTTTTAACTAAACACTGTAATTATATATTCATGTCAAACAAATCAAACATAATAATATAACATTCCGTTAATCTTATTATCAAAAATAATATTACATTTCATAAACCAAACGTAGTCTCGTGAGAACCTTCGAGGATACGAATACGAAATTATGCGAATTCTCAGACTAGCATAGTGTATGCCACTAGCAACCATGCACAAACAACCACGTGTCGTTCATATGTTATCCTTGTGAACATACTTCTGTAACTTCACTGTGCACTACGTGTAGTCACCCGTGACTTCCTAGTCTGGACTTTCAACCTGTAGAACGTCGAATTCGAGATCAGAGACATGATAACTCTTGGCTGATACGTATCCATAGCATTATAAATACCTGCTTGATGAAAGGTAAAGGACAGGCTGGATCTCCCACCTCAGACCATCATGACTTTTAAGGTCATCGAAACTCTCTCTGGAGTCTCCTGTCTCTACATCAGACTAAACAAATATGAACATAAACGATAATTTTATTTTATTCATATTCGTTCATTAAAGAATATAGTATGTTCATGTTCGTTCATTTAAATGATAAACGAACATAAACGAACACAAACGAACAAACGTAAACGAACATAATAAATGAACATAAACGAACATAAACGAACAAAAAAAAAAAAAACTTATTCAAACACAACAAATGAATGTAAAAAAAGTAAACAACTTAAAATTCATTAATATAACCTGCAACTTTAGAGTTAATTTGTTCGAATATAACAAAAACATACATAAATCATAAATAAGTTATATGAACATAATAAAGTCTTAAAGTTAATTTGTTCAACAAAACAATCTTCTTGAGATTCAAACAACTCTAATAATCTTCATAACATATTCAACTTGCACCATGTTCGAACATAAATGAACATAAATGAACGAACATAAATGAACATAAATGAACGAACATATAATTGAACGTTCACGAACGTAAATGAACGAACGAGCCCTTTGTTCGTGTTCATTCATTTAATTAAATGAACTCGAAATCTTGTTCATATTCGTTCATTTAATAAATAAACGAGCAGAACCGAACTTCTAACTGCATGATTTATGAACAGTTCACTGAACGTTTAGTTCCTTTACGATTGTTTATTATTTCAACAGAAAATAATTATTAAATTTAAACAATAATTATTTTATTTTTAATTTAAACCAGACCAACTGAAATTGAAAAACAAAAGCTTCATATTCAAGGCCCAAGTCATACAGATTGGTTTGTCGGGCTAAGCTAACCTGCAATTTGGGTTTACAAGTTGGCTTTGGTCATTTAGTTCTTTGTTTGTTAATGGTCCTTGAATTGTGCACATCTGATCATGTAATAATTTTTACTACGAAATTAATTTTAAAATAATTTTTATTTGGAGTTTGGATATATGAATCACTATGTTTGTAAAGTTTTTAAAATATTGCTTATAAACTTATAAAATAAATTATACATGATGTGCTTGTTTTACCGAAAATAATTTTAAAAAATGTTTTTTTATATATTGTATTAATAATACATTAAATATATTAAAAATGAAAATTTGGGTAATAAGTAGATTTTCCAGAAAATAACCAAAAAATAAAAAAAATATTTTACATTTAGTGATTCAAATATCAGACAATCTTCATATTTTCTGAATTTTTTTATTTGAAATAAACTTACATTATTATATCATTAAATTCAAGTTCCGTCCCTCGCAATATCATTAATTTTTTTTCCCAGTAGTAGGCCAAGGAAATAAAACCAAATAGATAGGGGCATTTTAGATTCTAATTTTGGTTTTTTTTTTGGGTCTCAAGCTATTCCCTACAAGCCATTGGTGCAAAAATCAATGTTCGTCACCTATAACCAACACCATAGTAAAACTTTTGCATAAAGCAAAGGATAACCATAACCAATCTGGTAAATTTGACCCAAAAAAATGAAATAGATTATTAATCAAATCTATATAAATAAAATGATAAATCAATGAACAGAAAAAATCAAAGATATTATGGATTCAAGCGTAATGACAAGTGACTTTCTAGGTTTTCTATGGAAGTACATCATCTCTGGTCTCCAATTGGTGTATGCATTTCAGGCTTGTTAAGACTATAGGCTGTTATGCAGTTGAGGATAGTTGAGGGTGTTGGTTATTATGCAGTTAAGGCTGTTGAGTGCAGTTAAGAACTGTTATGAATTAGTTACGTTAGATTGTATGAGTGCATGAGCTATCTTGTAAAACTATATAAGTATAGCATGGTATCGTTGTAAAGAGTGAACAAGAAATACATTTCTCTTTAGTATAGATTTCTTTTACATGTACCTGGTGTAACAAATAATCTGCTTTCGATTTTAAAGTGTGCTAGGGATAATAAGGTGTACTTTGAATTTCATGCGCATGGTTGTTATGTTCGAGATAGCTCCACGAGTGAAGTGTTGTTTTCGGGGAAGGTCAAGGATGGCTTGTATGTGTTTTTCGAGACTGGTTCGCCAAGTGTTTGTGAAAAAACCCAAGTTAATCTCGCTGATGTTAGTAACTCTAATCTGTACGCTCTTTGTCATAGGAGATTAGGACATGCCACTTATAATACTGTTGTCAAAGCATGTAAGGACATTGATGTATCATTTTCTTCGAATATGAATGAAAAATGCGATACTTGTTGCATTGGCAAGAGTCACAAGCTGTTATTTCCTAATTCTACTTCTGTGTATTGTGCTCCATTCGAATTAGTGTTCAATGACCTTTGGGGCCCGACTCATGTTGCCTCCAAAGGATTTAAGTATTATTTGATGTTTGTTGATGCCTATTCAAGACACACGTGGATTTATTTCCTACACAATAAGGCTCAAGTTGTAATGGTGTTTGGGTTGTTTAAAACACTAGTGCTGAATCAGTTTGGTGCATCGATAAAAGTGGTTTAAAGTGATTGGGGTGGCGAGTACATGAGTTTGTCTCGTGTTCTGCTGCAAGATGGCATCAATCATAGGCTTTCGTGCCCCCACACCTCCAAGGAGAATGGAATTGTGGAGAAGAAACATAGACATATCATTGAGATGACCCTAGTTTTGTTAGCTCAAGCGTCTATGCCTATACAATGCTGGTTTTATGCTGCCATGACTGCAGTTCACACTATTAATAGACTTCCAACTAAGGTATTGAGTGACATGTCCCCATGTGAGAAGCTTTTTGGAAAATAAACTGATTACACTTCGATGAGGGTCTTCGGGTGTAAATGCTTCCCACGCCTCAGTTTATTTCAGACTCATAAGCTTGAGTTCAGGTCTCAAGTTTGCACCTTCCTGGGTTATAGCTCACAACACAAAGAATATTTGTTTCTTGCATCGAGTGGAAGGATCTATGTTTCGTGTCATGTTGTATTTGATAAGTCAGTATTTCCATTTACAGGTTTGGCCACCAAGGTCCCTACAAATGACAGTGCAGTAGAATCAACTGACTTGGAGGTTGTAACTGATGTTCAGCAGTTACGAGCAATAACATATGCCATGGGAGATGTTGATGCAGTGCATAGACCTGTGCAAAGTACTTCAGAGAATGTGCAAAGTACTTCAGAGAATCTACAAAGTGCTTTAGAAAGTATGCAAGGCACTTCGATTAATGGAATGCATGAAGCTGCTGGTGAGCCTGGTCCTACATAAAACTCTAATGATGTAATGGTCTTTGATGGGCAAACTGGTGAGAACAGTGATGGTTTCGTTGTGCAAGAACTTGTGGTTTCAAACACTGATGATGGAGCTGTGTAAGAACCCTTGATGCCAAATATACCTACTGTAAACGCTCATCCTATGATGACAAGGAGCAAGTGTGGTGCTTTTAGACCTAAGTTAATCAAGATGTCTTCAGAGACGGTGGAACCAAACAATGTATATGATGCGTTGAAGTCCCCTAACCGGAAAATAGCAGTATATGCTGAGCTTGATGTGTTGCAAAGCAATGGGACGTGGACTGTTATGAAGCTGCCACCTGGGAGATCGGTTATAGGCTGCAAATGGTTGTTCAAACTAAAGACTAACCCAGATGGGTCTGTTCAGAGATACAAGGCCCGTTTGGGTTCTAAGGGGTACTCGCAAGTACCAAGGCAGGATTTCACCGAGACCTTCAGTCTAGTAATTAAATTTCCCACAATTCATGTGGTTTTGTCGTTAGCTGTAACAAGACAGTTACAGCTGCGTCAGATTGACATTAACAACGCGTTTCTGAATGGAGAGTTACACGAGGATGTGTATATGCAGCAGCCACCAGGCTTTGAATAGTATGTTGAAAATGGCAGCCAACTTGTGTGTAAGCTGAACAAGGCCCTGTATGGACTTCGACAGGCGCCTAGGAACTGGTAAGCACAGTTGAAGTAGTGTTTGTTTAATTTAGGGTTCAATGAATCCAGGGATGATACATCATTGTTCATACGTAATAACAATGGTGTGCATACCTATATGCTAGTCTATGTTGACGATATTATAGTTATTGGAAACTCGAACACAGAGATTGATGATGTGGTTCGACAACTGGACGTTGCATTTTCATTAAAAGACCTGGGAGAGCGCAGTTATTTCCTTGGGATTGAGATTGAAAGATGCGGAGGAACGTTGGTACTAAGCCAACACAAGTTTATTCTTGAGCTGTTGACAAGAACAGGCATGGAAAAAGCTGGTCCAGTAATAACACCTATGGTGTTAAGCAAGTTACAATCAGAGGTTGGTGATTTATTATGTGATGCAAAGGAGTATCGTAGCGTTGTTGGGCACTATTATATGCGTGTCAAACTCGGCCTGACATCACCTATAGTGTGAACCAAATAGCTCAATACATGTATGCACCGCGTTAGAGTCACCTGGTTGATGTTAAAAGGATACTTCGATATCTTGCAGGCACGCTTGAGTATGTGTTAGTGATAGCCCCGTATGGAGTGAATATAAAGATAATAGCCTTTGCAGATGAAGATTGGGGTGATAATCTTGATGATAGAAAGTCCATATCTGGGTATTGTGTGTTTGTAGGGGATAACCTAGTGTCCTAGACTTCCAATAAGCAAAAGACAGTTTCAAGATCCACCATGGAAGTCGAGTATCGCAGTGTAGCTGATGCAACAGCTGAAGTGGCTTGGGTTGGTGCTTTTTTGTCAGATATGGGTGTTGTGAAACAAGGAGTACAAATCATCTGGTGTGATAACAGTGGTGTTGTGGCCATGAGCAGCAATCCAGTGTATCATGCAAAGGCCAAACACGTGGAACTCGATATACACTTTGTGCGGGAGAAGGTGGTTGTTAAACAAGTTGTGATTAACTACGTCCCAGCAAGCCATCAAGTTGCAGATGGACTTACTAAGCCGTTATCCAGACCGTTGTTTGAGTAGTTTAGATCAAAAGTACAAGTGTTTCCATTTGGAAGAGTAGAAGGAAGAGGAAGCAGGGAGAATGTTAAGCCTATAGGTTGTTATGCAGTTGAGGATAGTTGAGGGTGTTGGTTATTATGCAGTTAAGGTTGTTGAGTGCAGTTAAGAACTGTTATGAATTAGTTACGTTAGCTTGTATGAGTGCATGAACTATCTTGTAAAACTATATAAGCATAGCTTGGTATCGTTGTAAAGTGTGAACAAGAAATCCATTTCTCTTTAGTATAGATTTCTTTACAAGGCCATCAAACCATGGAATATAGTACAAGCGTAGGCCATAATATTGGCGCAAGCAATCATGTTCAAACTATGCTGGCATCGAGCCTCCACCGACCGCGCAACCGGGGCAAGCATGCTGTACCAGAGTCAGCTACAATTCCATGTCACCATACCCATAACATCTCGACCCACTTGGATATCATAAGTAGACAAAACTTCTGTTGTCTTGAAAGGAACAGTCGAGGAGACTCATGAGATGACTCGAACTTGGATTTTAATAGGTCCATACTCCATAATTTGAAAAGGGAGTACGTCGATAATGTTATACAAAACAATCTTGATAGTATCGTACTCATTGATATGTATAGGTTTTAAAGGAAAAATGAAATAACACCAGCAATCAATTTAAAATAATTTTTCTATATGAAAACTAATTTTTAAACATTAAAATAATTAAAATAATAATACATCAATGCATATGAAAATAATATTTGGATATCGTTATATATATTAACATCAAATAAAAAACTAAGCTATCTAGCTAGCTAGGTTTGTTTTCTCATTATTCCAATTATGAATTCTATACAATTTGAAATTTGAATGAAAGAGAAATGTAGCTTTCTAGGCGTTGTGGATATCTTTGTCGCACGGTCATCATGTTGATGGGAAATTAATTTGTATTGACGGTCAAGTTTTAATAATAATTTTATTTAATGTTTTAATCTTCAAAGTTGGTTTCATGATCTACATTTAAAGTTTACAATTATTTTTATTAATAATCGTTTTTAAAGTTTGAATATAGATTTTTCTATACAACATACTTTACCGTTAAAACCATATTAATAATAATATTTTTTTGGTTGGTCTCTCGGTTCCAAGGCTTTGTTTTAACTAATCCGAATCGACCCTTGTTGCACACTTGGCTTTTGGTGGGTGAGTCCTCCCCGTAAGGGTTTTCTGCATACACAATGACTCGAACTCGAGATATTATTTAAACGATATCAAGCTACTTACCACTTGAACCAACCCTATTGATAATAATAATAATAATTTTATTTGGTAATTAATAATATTATTTTAAGAATTTTATTGAGATAGATAGCTAACTATTTGGATAAGAACCGCCCTCCAGTTTTTGTGGTTCAGGAAAACGATGTTGAATTTATCTATACGTATGTTGCCACGTACCTTGTAAGTTCTATAATATATATATATATATATATATATATATGTTCATTCTCATGCAAATTTGACCTAGAATTCCTCCACGTACTTGCCTATTCAGACTAAATCCCTAAAAAAACATACCCTTTAATTACATATAAGAAAAACATTAAATCCAACTTTGAAATTTACATAGTTTAATGTTTCCACGGCTTGTTTTCTTTTAGATAAAATGCTTTCTTTATGCAAATACTTTTCCTCGAAAGTAGGCTTTTCAAAAGGAAAACCAAACACATCTGATTTGTCTATTAAAAGAAATAGACTCTGGTTTTATATCATGACTTTATGGAAGTTAAGCTCCATTTTAGTTATTAACTACGGATATGAATATTAGTTAATTAAGATTTTAAATTATTATTTTTATACTCATTATAATTTATTAAAATCAAGATAAGCTTAATGTGATTAAAAACCCGACCGAAGCAGCAATTTGAACAGTGACATCCAGTATGGAAATTGGATATTACATACGTCAAGCATCAATGTCACAAAGGAGAGACAAAAGGATCATTCATGTAAGGTTGGAGAGGGTCCTACGTTATTGAATAAAAGGTTAGCAAATATGGACGATTGGTCCACGATTTTGTCCCGTGCTTCACGTTACTTGTCAACGTTCCAACTTGGAAGGGTTAGCTTAGCCAATTGTGGTTGTGCCCAAATGATCTCTTTAATCTAAATTCGAGCCCTTAACTTTAAATTATAAATTTAAAGTTAATATTAAAAGTATTATCAATTTAAAAGATAACATTTTATAAGTAAAATCGTAAAATTCAATTAAACAAAACATATAATACATAATCTATAGAATCGAGTTTGAGCCCTATGGTGGACCTTCACTCCCTTGTAGGGGGCATGTAAACAAGGGTTTCACATGCCCTTATAACCCTTCTCCAACAACAAACCACGTGCCTTTCCTCAATTATTTCCCAAAACCCCATTTAGGAAACAATATATGTATATATTTAACTCAATTTGCGTCATGCCTATGCTTGTCGTTCCATGGCCGTGCCTGATCCTTCAATCCAAATGCAAATGAAATCGCATCAGTCAGATCAGTGTAGCCCTTTTGTTACACTAAAAGAACTGAGTGACCTTATTATATGCAGAGTTTTGGGTGATTATGTATTTGTCACTGACATTTTATTTTTTTGGAAAAAAATGTTTGACTTTATCAATTCCTTGAGTCAATTCTCTGCCATAAATGGTCGCTTTCGTTAAGATTTTGACATTTCATTTCATATTAATTATCTGTAAGATGGAATTTGGTTGAAGCTTAATAGTTTAGTGGGATACGACATTAATGGCTCAACCCCTATCCCATATCTGCTTGCATCCTTAATTTTGACTTCTTTAACTAGTATTGGAGTCCAAGTCCACTCTATGGAGCCCGTTGATTTAATGTAATTTCATGGCCTAATCCACTTTTATCTTTCAGTTGTATTCTTTCAATAGAAACGATTTTTAGTAAAATATCTATAAAATTGTCTATAATTCTTTATCTCTAAATCAAAATTTTATTATACATTCTTAAGCGTTTGAGTTTATAATTTTTAAAATATAATAATAATAATATTGAGTTAAAATTCAATATGCTTAATAATGTCAATTAATATATCTATATTTTAATTTTGTTTAGAATTTTTTTAGTTAATTAATAACAAGCACATATTTTATAAATGTGATTGTCCGAACTCAATATTTTTAAAGAAAACAACATTTTTATTTAACACTTAAATTAGTTAATGAATCTAATTATTAATACTAATATATATGATAAAAGATCATTTTTATTCGTAAAAAAGGGAAAAAAAAAAAAGAAAAAACGTAAAATCTGTGAGGGGAATATACCGCGATAACCCACCCAGTCTCATAGGCATGTAAATGAACTGAACGTTCAGTGAACCGTTCATAAACCGTGCAGCGGGAAGTTCATTTATGTGCGTTTATTTATTAAATGAACGAACATGAACAAGATTTTGTGTTCGTTTAATTAAATGAACAAACATGAACATAGGTCTCGTTCGTTAATTTACGTTCGTGAACGTTCGGTTATGTTCGTTTATGTTCGTTCGGTTATGTTCGTTTATGTTTGTTCGATTATGTTCGTTTATGTTCATTCATTTATGTTTAACCCAATCTTCTTAAATCAATTTTGGTGACCAATTTGTAAGTATCTTAAAAATATTAATTAATTTGATATTCTGACGACCAACTCTATAATTAACCCAATTTTATTTGGAGATTAAATCCAATATGTTAACCCGAGGCACCTCGCACCTATATTCATTTTCCTCCTTTTTTTTCCCAAATCCTAGTGTTCACTGGAGAGTGAAGACGATTGCTGAAAGCTTCAAAACAAGTTATATTATAGTGCAATATGAAGTTTTACAGGTCTATTTTCATCTCTTTCTCTGTTTTATTTGGCTTAATAGTTGTTATGTAAAGTTATTGCGGGTATCTTCACATCTAAAACTCAAGAAAACATCATACTTCCTTCTAGAAATAGATGGGAAGATAAAAGTAACAATCGGAAGTATATGAGCATCAGTAAAGAGAAAAATATATAGAATTTGTCATAAAACAAAACAAAGGTTTCTATGTAATTTCTGAAAAAGAGTGTAATAGCGGAAATAATGGGTTTTCCAGGAAGAACTCATTAATAAGTAGAAAATACACTTTGACAATGAACTTTTTTTTTCATAGTTCTTGTGTGACCTTTAGTTGTGGAGTAGATTTTAGGTACGTTAAAATTTTGAATGGTGATTTAGCAATAATATCAGTTACGATATGTAACATCAAAGGGATTTCGGATCTATGTTATTGCCTTGTAGTCCAATTTGTACTGTTCAAAATCTTCATGCTGTTAAATTTTATACTCTGTCAACGGAAATGACCATTATTAACAAACCTCAATAAAGTATGATATTGATGTCACAAAACTTTTAGCCGGTGAAATTATTAGAATAACGTAGTGGAAAATGATTGTTCATATGTAATCATGGACCACTAAGATAAATGTTATAGCGTTAAATTAAAGTCGTGTGAATCATTTAATATCTTTAAAATATCGATCGAAATATTTGATATCTTCAAACATTTCATCACTACTAATCAGCTCTTACGCTATTTATCACTGTAGATTTGGTTGATTTGCATTGTCGACTATTTTTCATGAAAGAACAATGGAAGGTAGGGTCTCCAACGTTTATGTTCGTGTTCATTTATGTTCGTGTTCATTTATGTTCGTGTTCGTTTATTTATTAAATGAACGAATATGAACAAGTTATATTCCTTAATAAACGAACATGAACAAAAAAATTTGTTCGTTTATATTCGTGTTCGTTTATTTTTTAAATGAACGAACATGAACATGCCTATGTTCGTATGCGTTCGGTTTGTTTACAGTCATTCAGTCTCACCTACCTATACCTTGACCAGTTAATTATTTTCACCAAACCCTTTGTGTCCCATATTTTTAAAACCAAAACAAAGACATTTTTAATCTCTTCAAATTGAAGCTCACTACCAGCCTTCACCTTCCCCATGTGATCATGACACACACAAATCAGGTAGCTAAAAGAAACAAAGGGCGGAAACGATTACTTTAAATGTTGTTAAAGCAATAACTTGAAATGGGAGATTCTGTTTTGATTTTTGTAGAATCTGGGGAAAACATTGACCAATGGGGAATTAAGCCGGTTAAACCAAGAGTGGCCGACAATGGGGTTCGATGGGTTAGGACAGGAAAGGGGACACATGGACCAGATTGGCATACACTACAGTCCTGTGGGTCACTTGTGCTGTTTTCTAATTAGATTTGCTGTCGGTATGGCTTTTAGGTCTCTCAAAGTTTGCCTCTTTGTTTTCGTTAAACATAACATTATAACAAAATAAAAATTCCTCAACAAAAATGGAAAAGAAAATGCTCTGCTTACCCCAGTTGGATATTAAAATTGGAGTATATAGAAGACGCATGTCTCCTACACGGTGGAGAAAGCTTGAACCAAGAATATAATATGTATGTAAATTTAATTAATATGAGCTATGATTTACTTTCGTTATATAAAATTTCCTTCAATTTATTTTGGTTCGGAGGTTCGGAATAATTGAATAAATGTAAATGTATGATTGGAATTAAAACTCTATTTAATCTTATATATTCATTTCAATTCATTCAATAATTTAAAAATTATCCAATTAATTTACCTATATTAAAATTATCTAATTTATTATGAGTTGAGTTTTAAAATTTTATAATTAAATGGAGTAGACTTCAAAAACTTAAATGCATGAAGTTTTAATTTAACATGACCGGAAGGACAGTTATAAACTTTGAACGAAAACCTAAATCAAACATTAATTTTTGTTTAATATCATCCGTAAATTAAAAATCTTTGTCTTTGACCACGGAGTCAATGTTTCGAAGTTGTCTATTGTAAAATAATTTTTAATTATTTTAATATTTTCCTGCCTTATTTATACCACTCAATGTTCGATAGGCTTGGCCATTACCAGCAATAATCAAAGTTTCTCATTTTCAACACTTGCTCAAATACGGCAGCAAACTATCATTCTAGTGTTGCTTTTCCTGGCTAGTTTTGATCTAAGCATAGCATTCACACTTTTGGCTACAGGCTAAGTACATATAGAGAGGCTTGATAATGGGGATGTTGTCGAGAAAAGTCACGTGCAATTCTCATGGACAAGATTCTTCTTACTTCCTAGGATGGCAGGAATTCGAGAAGAATCCATACGATGAAGTCCAGAATCCTCAAGGGATTATTCAAATGGGTCTTGCAGAGAATCAGGTAAATTTAAAATAAAAAAAAAACCCAGAAAAATACAGAGTGTATTCGCTTTTTTTTTCAATAATTAAAAATATTATTGTAGTTTCTTGTTTATAGCTTAATGGTGGTGTGTATTTTTTGTTTTTTACAGCTCTCATTTGATCTTCTCGAGTCTTGGTTGGATAAGAACCCAGATGTAGCTGGTTTCAAGAGAGATGGGCAATCCATATTCAAAGAGCTTGCTCTTTTCCAAGATTATCATGGGCTCCCTGCATTCAAACAGGCGTTGGTTGATTTCATGGCTGAAATCAGAGGAAACAAAGTAACATTTGATCCAAATCGAATCGTACTCACCGCCGGTGCAACCTCAGCAAATGAATCTCTAATGTTCTGTCTCGCCGAACATGGCGATGCTTTCCTTCTTCCCACGCCTTATTATCCAGGGTAAGTTCAACTGTGTATCTTTAACTTAGTTCAAAATGTTAAACAACAATTCATTCATTTTTTTTTCCTTACAGATTCGATAGAGATCTCAAGTGGAGAACTGGGGTTGAAATCGTACCGATCAAATGCACCAGTTCGAATCGCTTTCAAATCACTGCGTCAGCTCTGGAAGAAGCTTATCGACAAGCTAAGAGAAAGAACCTGAGGGTGAAAGGTGTGTTAGTCACCAACCCCTCGAATCCATTGGGTACAACCATGACGAGAGATGAATTGGATCTTCTAGTTAACTTCATTACTGACAAAGAAATCCATTTGATCAGCGACGAAATCTACTCCGGAACCGTTTTTAGCTCGCCGGCTTTCGTTAGTATCATGGAGGTTTTAAAAGATCGAAACCTCGAGAAAACCCAAGTCTGGGAAAGAGTTCACATTGTTTATAGCCTTTCAAAGGATCTGGGTCTGCCTGGTTTTCGAGTTGGTGCTATTTACTCCAACGATCCCATTGTTGTGGCCGCCGCCACAAAAATGTCCAGCTTCGGCCTAGTTTCATCTCAAACACAGTATCTCCTCTCCACCATGTTATCCGACAAGAAGTTCACGAAAGAATACATTGCCAAAACCCACAAGAGGCTTCGAAAGCAACGAAGCATGCTCGTTGCCGGCCTGGAAAAGGCCGGCATCTGCTGCTTAGAAAGCAATGCAGGGCTGTTCTGTTGGGTCGACATGAGACATCTTCTGAGCTCCGACACATTCGAAGCCGAAATGGATCTTTGGAAGAGGATAGTTTACGATGTTAAGCTGAATATTTCTCCTGGTTCTTCGTGTCATTGCAGCGAACCAGGGTGGTTCCGTGTTTGCTTCGCCAACATGTCCGAAGATACCCTAAAACTCGCCATACAAAGGTTGAAATCCTTCGTCGGTTCAATCACCAGTAACCACCGGAGCCACCAAGAGTTGAAGAACTCGAGGAGGAAGTTTCGCACCAAATGGGTTTTCCGGCTGTCGTTTCAGTCGTTCCATGATCGGGAGCAAGATGAACGATAAGTCTGGCTAATTTTTTCTTTACCAGTATGAACACATTGTTCATATTGAAAATACTTTTTTGAGAGATTATTTTTTTTTGTTTTATATAAATTTGTCCAAAAGTAAATGATTTATGGAATTGCAGACAGAGAAGAAACTGCACTCAATCTACATGGGATTTGGAGTGTACTCAGTTTCATCACCTTGTAAAATTTAAGTCTACGACGTGGCATGAAAATATAATTCCTGAATTTACGTATGGACTGTCGTCTCCCTCAAACTTTATCGTTAGGATTTTAATCTCAAACATGTATGTTCGATACCACCTTATAAAGTATAATAGATTAACTTTGCTAAGTTTAATTTAGTTTATAGCGTATTGTTATACTTCATGAGAAACAATAACTGTAAAAACGATCATAAAGATCTGAACTATTAAAATTTGTTTATTTTATATTTTTCCTTTTATTTTATTTTTAAAAGATAAATCTTTAATTTTTTTCATGTAAATATGGAGATGACTAATTATTTAGAAGTTAATTATGAATGGATTAGTGACATGGTGAAAAATTAACGAGATTGATGGTTTTTAATGGATGCGACCATAGATGAGATATGGTAAAATAATTTTTTTTGAAGAGGTGCTAAGATTTTACGTGAAAGATTTCAAACATAGAAAAACTGTGAACAAATTATTTTTTTAAAATGTCGAAAATAAGAATATAATAATTACGACTGTACACAAATTAAAGGTTTAATCGACTTATTTTTAATTCTAATTACTATTATATGCTTATAAAAATAATTACGTGATTACAAAGTAAACTTTTGTAATAAGAACTCTAATCAACCTAAATTAATTCTGTACTCTTGAACACCGTCTAATACTCCAAATATAATACTCAATAAATTCTTTATGTGTAGCAGCATATCGTTGAGTTCCGAGAACTCTCATCGTAATAAATATTTAAAATGAATTATGAATCAAATAAGATTGAACTCTCATCCATTTGAGGTTACGAGTAGTTGAAACACTCCCGCCCGACAAGTTGAAAATGGTGACTTTGATAATCATCAGCTGCGTTTGCGTTTAGCACCCTTCCATTAATTGTGGCTCAACCGACCTTAACAATCTATGAGACTTGGGTTTCCCATAATACCTTCTTTTGTACATAAATATATGCTTGTATATATTTGTGTGGTTGAAACAAAGCCATGTATATTCCTACGTATAGTTACTGCAAACCTTAAATTCTCTTCAACTAAAAGAATGATTAATATATATAAATTTAAAATTTAGAGTTTAAAATATAAGATTTTAAAATTCAAGATTAAAATAAATTATACATGATTTATATCAAATAATAATTCCATATATATAAAAGATACAACAGTTTTTGTTTGGTTTTGAAAGTCGTCACCTACTACGTAAGCTTTAGAAAAGAAGAGTTACTTGCAAGAAAGGTTAAAGGTGAAATAGGATTTGAACTTTCTAGGGTTCTAATTAGTGCTAAAAAGAAGGAGAGTTTACACGGTTTTTGAGTCAACAAAAAGACTGCTCTTCATGGTTATTAATCATCGGGAATTTCAAGAAAGCAAGCAAAAAACATGTCAATGAATAGAGTTTGGTGATTATGTTGTCCAGGACTTGAGCAAAATAAAAAGGAAAAGGAAGTAAGCTTCCCAAAGACAAAATATGATTTACTCATTAATAGGTACTAATCAGGGTTTGATTATCAAATAATATTAATAAGCATCAAAATCAAATTAAGCCATGGACTCTAGGTGTAGCTAGATGTGCATATTTGTCGGATTTCAATCCGATCCGGATCGGTTTTTATCCGATCCGGTTTTTTCCCATAGAAAAAAAACCGGTTTATAAAATAACCGGTTCGGTTTCTAATCGGTTTGGAGGGCCGGATATCCTAACCGGTGTAACCGGTTTCGGTTTTAAAATAACCGGTTTTTTTAAAAAACCGGTTATAAAAAAACCGATTTTAATATTCCAGATTGCTCATAGGGAACCGATTCCCCCCCAAGGGGGTACCGATTCCTCACTGAATGGTTTGGCTCCGAGATTTCCAGAATGCTCGGAGGGAACCGATTCCCCCATAGGGGTACCGATTCCCCCTATTCAACGGTCGAAATATTTGAATTTTACACTTAGGGAACCGATTCCCTATGAGAGGAAACCGATTCCCTATGAGAGGGTACTGATTCCCCCACGCTCCAAGCATTTTTATTAAATGTTTTCACACTTAAACGGCTATATTATCTTCATTAATTATCACTAACGTTCAGAAGTGATTCAAGGTGTATTTAAGCAAGCTTAGAAGCCATTGATCAAAGACAAGAAACATCAAGCAACTAGAATCAAGAGAGAATCAAAGAGAAAGCATCAAACCTCAAGTTCGATAAATTCAAATACTTAATTGAAATACTTAATTAACTCAACATAATTGAAATACTTAAATACTTCCAAGTTTGATAAATTCAAATACTTTTCTTCTTCATCTTCGCCTTCTTCGTTTGGAGGGGATATTCCAAGTTCGACTTCTTCAATGTGTAAGTTTGCTTCCAAATCGGCATCAATTGCATCTTCTAGGGTGGTGATATGTTGCTTACGAGCCGCTCCATCCAAATAATCCTTTAAACAAATGCATACTTCCACCGACTCGGGACTTAGTCTTGATCTCCGTTGCAATATAACCCTGCCACTAACAGAAAAAGTGGATTCCGAAGCTACCGTAGAAGCTTGGACGGTTAGTAAATCACGGGCCATGGCGGCTAGAATCGGAAATTGTGCTTCCTTTTCTTTCCACCAAGCCAAAATATCCAAACTTTCAAACTCTTCAAATGTCATTTTTGATAGAAAATCGCATGACATGTAATTTCTCAACTCGCTACTTGGGGTGGTAGTACGTGATCGTTTGGATTGGGAATTTACAAGAGTGTTAAAAAGATTCAAATTTATGTTACTTGGACGTCTACTAGATGATTCCGCATTCATTCTCATTTGATCGTGTATTACACTACTTGATCCGTATTTATTTAAATAAATTGCAAACATGTCTCGAAAACATTTGTTAAAATAATTTATTTGGTTTTGAACAAAGTTGGGTTCATCATCGGTTAGATTAAAAGCAAACGCAATTTATTCAATTAGTGTTTCAACCCCACCAACATTTAACGTTGGGTTTAAAGCGGCGGCACAAGTAAAAATGGGGGGAATCTCCTTAAAATATTTTAAAAGTTTTTCCTTCATTGCAAAGCCAATTTCTTGAAAAACTTCGGTTTCAAATTCAAAGTCATTTAGTCGGGTAGCCAACAAAAATATTTGATTAAGAACCAACGGGCTAGTAGGGTAATAAACACCGGATAAAAAAGTTGTTGCATTTTTAAAAACCTCAAGCAAATCGGTTATTTTGGCTATAGTTTCCCAACTCGAATCCGGATAAATGTTTGGGACATGACCCCTCTCGAAAAGCCGATCGTGAAATGTTTGCAATGTTTCCCTTTGCCTTAAGGCAGTATGCATCATCATCCAAGTTGAGTTCCAACGAGTTGGACAATCCAAATTAGGACCCAAAGCTTTTTTATTAACAGACTTACAAAATCGTTTATAATCATTTAGTCTTTTGTTGTTGTTACAAAGAACCGATTTTATCATTGTTTTAAATTCTAATCTAATTGGCTCAATAACCTCCAAACCGGCTTGCACGGATAAATTAATTATGTGTGCAACGCAACGGGTATGAAAAAACGCACCGTCTAAAATCGGTGAAAGTAATATTTTCAATCTTGGAACCGCGTTTGTATTATTCGATGCATTATCAAAGGATATAGAAAAAACTTTATTTTCTAATTTATAAAGACAAATTACCCTTTTTAAAAGTGTAAATAAATTAGCATCGGTATGCGGCTCACCGAATAATTCAAACGCGATTGTTCTTTTCATCATTTGCCAATTATCTTGATCTAACCAATGTGACGTAACGGCTAAAAAAAAATTTCCGGTATTATGAGGGGAACTCCAAACGTCACATGTAAGCGACACACCATAACGGTGTTCTTGGAATCCTAAAATCATTTTTTCCCTCGCCGTACGCCACATTTTTATAGCATTTCTTCTAAGGGTAGTACGACTTACTTGAGTATAACGTGGTTGCATTAGTTGTTGAATTGTTGTCGTGAAATCTTCATCATCAAAGTGGTCGAACGGCAATGCTTTTGTAATCACGAACTTTGTAAACGCTTCTCGTAATTTTTCGTTGTCGTAAACAAAAACACCACCTTGCGGTGTAAGATTCGATTGACTAGGATCCGATCTTGAGCGAAGTGCCTTGCATGATTTTGTCAAATGGTTCTTCAACGTTGTGTTTCCTTCCGATGCAAGAAACTTTAGACAAAGTTTACAACGCGCCCTCCTCGAGCCATTTGACATCTCACATAAATCGTAGTGATCCCAAATATCTTTGTTTCGAGTGTGTTCGATCACTCTCACGACTTCAAGGTTTCCCCCGACGGAAGATTCAGCCGTGTTACTCATGATGAACAAAAAATTACAAAACTAAGATTTGAGAGATGTTTAAGTGTTGTGTAATAAGATTTGAGAAAGTTGTAATCAACCAAATACATCCCCAACCTATTTATACATGTTTAGGGTGGTAAAATGGTAATTTTTTAAAGAAAAAAATGGTCAAAACGGTCACAAACGGCTATATCAACGGCTAGTTTTTTAAACTCATACCGGTTTTTTTTCCGGATAAAAACCGGTTTTTTAACCGGTTTTTTTCAAACCGGTTTTTATCCGGTAAAAAAACCGGTCTAGGTTTTTTTCTCCAAACCGGTTAAAATAACCGGTTTAAAAAAATCCGATCCGGTTAAAAAATAACCGGTTTTTCCCAAATCCGATGTCGGATATTTTTTTCGCAAAATCGAATATTCGGATTTTTTGTGCACCCCTGGGGTAGCTCAAGGGAATCGAATATAGTCTCTTGCATGTGACACGTAGGAGCTTAAATCATTAAAAGTAATATTTTGATTTTAATTTAGTAAGTAGAAAAAGTGGGCATGGAGAGAATTTTTTTAATTAAAATTCGACCTAACATAATGCGAGAATAATAATATATATGTAAATTTCGAAAACAAACCGTCTTAGGTAAAAGAATAATGAATAACTTTTACGTAGAGACACAAAAGACATGAAACCATTGACTAAGAA